GCTGACTGTAGAAACGGCTGGACTTATTGCACTGAAACCCCCCTCTATGCTGAGGGCACTGTTTGCTTGAAAAGCCTTCTGTACATAATATGAAAGTTTCTACAATTGAGAACTGCACAGTAGTCGTAGTTAGGGCTTTATTACTTAGTTCTAATTTGTATTGATGGCCTAAAAAAAGTAGCATGCTTTGCAGTTCTATGAAAGAAAAGATTATAAATGGAGATTAATTATAATTTTGCTAGCTCAGTACTTGTAAAACTAAAGCAATTTATATTCTTTCTCTTAATGATCTCCATTCCTGATTGCAGTAATGTAATCTAATTGTGATTATGATAGTATCTGAATCATGTGGGCCTCTATGTGATTGGAACTACTCTTTGCATTAAAAAGTAATTTTGGAGTAATGATGAAAAGTTACTGTGGAAAATTGGCAAGTAATATATTTTACTCTGTATCTTAAGTTTCTGCTTTCATTTTTGATTATATCTTATAGCAAGGATAAGTATGATACTATATCAAGGATTTATTACATCAAAGACTTATCAATGATAACTATGGGTATCGAGGATAAGCATGATATTATTGGAATAGCACAGATATGGTTGAGGCAAGAAATTGAGGTTTTGAGATACTAGTCTGGGGTCTGTGGAGGGAAAGGGGAGACGGAGGAGGAGCCCTATCAGTATTCCTGGGAGATGAGTGTCTTCAGAGGGAAATGCTGCAAGTATTTTGGCTGACATAGCAATGTCAATGCTGATAAAAGTTAAGCACAATAAAGGTAGTCAGGTGGTTTTCTTTGAAGGCTTCTTTGAACTTTTAGGTCTTTGCTTGCAGATGAGAGAGGCCTTCAAGAGCACTGGAACTTTGATAAGGTGGCTTTTAATTACTCCTTTATTGACTGTGAGAAGGTAGAACTAGGGAGGGAATACTCGTGTCTCTAAAGCTGAAGTGGGATTGCCTCGAGTTCCTCGTGTGCTTTATTGAATTGTCTTTCAGAAACTATTTGAATTAATTCAAGGATTTGAGCCAAGGGTAATAAAGGGTGTTGAACTGGAGAGGTATGAAAGATCCAGTGATCTCGACATCATTTGATTTAAAATATTTGTTGAGGAGCAAAAAAAGCAATGCCAGCCTTAGTGCAGGCTGACTTTCAGGGAGTGCAGTGTGCGCTAAGGAATTTTTATCAGGATTTTATTATAATGTATGGTAAATCTACTGAAGAAAATTGGAATATATTTCAGAAACAGTTGGAGGACATTTGAAATTCATCCTGGTTTAAGTCTAAAGAAGGATAAAGGTAACAATGCCCGATGTGGCTAAGTAGAGTTGTATAGTAAAGAGTAAGATAAGCAGTAAGCACAAGGTGTAGGAAAAAAAAAATACAAAATCTGGGAAGGTGGAGCAGTTGAAAGGCTCCATAAAATAAGCAGAAGCAAACTGAAAGGCTAATTAGAAAAGCAAAAAGAAAACACTGCATGCTAACTGCAGGAAAAAAAAAAAATTGAGATGATAATAATATCCTGTGAATATACTCCAGCAAACTGAAGGAAAAAAATAGCTCCACAAATCATTCTAGTGTGGACAAAGACATGGTGGATTTGTTCAGCAGGTTTTATTTTTGTGTGTGAATGCACAGAGGCAGATGGGAGGACGGATGGGCAGATGGAGCTGTGGAACAAAGGAGGAGAATTTTGCTCTCTGTTGCAACACGTGCGTCCTCACCTGGAGAACTGACAAGCACGACACATATCACAACTGGCATGAAGGGATGCAAAAAAATCAATCTTACTCTAAGAGTTAATCAAACTTTAAAGAAACCAGACCCATGGATAGAGCAGTTTACGGCCATGCCCACGAAAACCATCAGGGTGGGCCAGAACCCCGAAAGGAAAGGGTGAGCATGAGGAAGTGTGCAGGCATGTGGATATATTTCAGGATGTAAATATAAACATGAACTTGTGACAGATTGAGCCTTGTATTATTTGCTCCTGGGGCTATATTTGGGTCAGAGTTGTGCCCTTTCTAACCCTAAATCGTTGCAGGTGAAGCACCAGAGATCTGCCTCCAGAGGTGTCTCCTCCTGGGGTGGGCTGCAGTTCTCTCCCTTGCAGCACAGCATACAGTCCAAAAAATACAAATAGAAATGAAAAAAGACAAGCTGCAAATCTTCCTTGCCCCTTTTTCCTTCCAGAGGGAGTTCTAGCACTCCCCTCATGAGTTAAAAATATCACAGCTCTCTCCTGACTTGTGTTTCAAACTTGTAATTACTTATAGCTGCTGTTTGTTCCGTTAACAGTTTGCATAGCAAAGTTTGGGTTTAACCTGCAGCTTTAGCTTGGCTGGTGATAATAAATGCATACAACAATTGTTTTCTCCGGAAAATGCCTATTTCTTTTCAGAAGTGGCTTTTTAATAGCCAGAATTATTGTGAATTCCCCCCTGTTGCAGTGATTTTTGCTCCCCCTGCTGTCACGACAGCGGCAGATTAACCAACCCTTCTGCCCACTCAAACGTGTGTTGATAATGTGGATGCACAGGATATTTTTGTTAAAAAACAAACACTTGCAGCAAAGGGAGGAGGAAACCATAGGGTATTTTTAAGAAAAAAAAAAAAAGCAAACCCAGGTTACATTCCGTATTTTAGGCCTGTGTGCTGAGCAAAAGCTCAACAAAAATTACTCAAGTGGAAAGATTATTTTCTCCCCTAAAAGACAACCCCAAACAAGAGAGAGCTGCTGAAAAAAAGAAATAAGGGGTTATATTACTGAACCTCTTTGTGTCAGAGAATGTTTAAATGCAGGCCTAGGAATAACTCAGAATTCCTGCACTGAAATTATTGCTCAGGCTGAGCCCCTTTCAGAGGTGTTGCTGCAACCAGCTTTGCTTTGCTTTGCTTTCCAGCGACCTAATCTACTGACAGCTCTTCCCTTCAAAATTCATTTATTTACCTGGATGGGCTCTGAAATGCTCACAGAGACCCCTGTGAGGTGTGGGATGTCACCAGTGTAGGGGGGTGCAGCCTCTCCCCCTGCCTGCCTTCTAGGAACTGAATTTTTGGGAGTTGAAGCCTCACCCTGCAAAGAGATTTTAATTTTCTGCAATCAGCAGATTTTTCTGCTTTTGGATGTCTTTGGCTGCAACCACGTGTGTCATTTAAGGAGTGGGATATACTATATATATAAATAATATAAAATTATATATAACTATTATAATAGCTATTGTATACTAATACTGAATATATATACTATATTTAATATATAGTATATATAGAGTATATATGTACTATATATACTTATATACAGTATAATATAGTATATATAAAGTATATATAATATTGTATATATAAGATAATTGTATATTATACTAATATATATTCTATTATAAAGTGTACATAGTATGTATATTACAGTATATGTATATTATAATATATACTACGGTACATTCATATATATTATGTATACAGTATATACAGTAATATGTACTGAATAAATATTATACATAATTTATCACACATAATAATATGTGTGATATAATACTATATTATATACAAAATAATTAATATAATATTATGCCATATTATACCTTAAATAATTTTATTTATAAAAATACATTTATATATTTATACCTTTTTTCAGCTGAAAACCTTTATTCTCTTTGCACCCTGATTTTCGCTTTCCACCGATATTTTGAGAGTTTTTGGGCCATAATAATGAACTTTTTGCCCAGTGCAGAGCATTCCTGGCACATGTAGGGGACAATATCCCCTTGTCCCCAGCAGAGGTGAGGAGTGGCCACCTCGTGCCGTGCCCAGTGCCAGGGAGCATCCCTTCCAAAGGGTACCCCTGCCAGGCTGGCTGCCACTATTTTAACATCTCTGCTGCTTCAATAAAAGGCAAAAATGAGGCTCCAAGGCTTTGGGAAGGAGGAGGCAGCCTGGCAGGAAGGTTTCTCTGGTGGAGGGGCAGCTCCTCAGCAACGAGGGGTGGGGATTTGGGGCCCCAGTGCCCTCGTGGAGGAAGTTCCTCGGGTGCCTGTTAGACATGGAGCGCTTTGTGAGGGCCGGCTGGCTGCCCACTCCCTTAAGGGAGCTTGACAGATCTTAAAAAAAAATCAATTTTAAGCTCACATGCCCCAGTGGGTGCCAAAGCCACTTCAGAGAGGCTGAGAGATGGCTGAGTCGACAGGATTTGACTTCCAGAGGTAGAAAGGTGACAAACTCCATCATGAGAAAGGGGCAGCTCGGGGCCTCCAAGGCCGAACCTGCTCCCAGGATCCGGGGCCCGGCGTTGTATTGAACCTATTTATCTCTTTCATGGGCCCAAGGTACCACGGGGAAAGGAAAGTTGTTCAAAAAAACGCTGGCAGAATTCAAGGGTGTAAATGATGAATTACTTTTCATCAGCTGAAAGGAAACATACTCCGGAACAATACTGAAAGGGAGCAGGAGCATCTGACCTCCTGCTTCAGAGCAGCCAATATCTTCATTCAAGAAGACAACCATGAAATTACACAGAAAATGGGATTGTCATGAACAGCCCCTTGAAATCTCAGTATACAGTCATTACTGCATGGGAAAAAGCCTTCATCCACACATCATAACTTGTAACAGACAAGGAGGGGGGGAAAAAAATACCCACCCTGCAAACCGGCCTTGGAGTTACCAGTAGGAACGTAGAAAATATTTGTTGATTCAAACTTTTCCCCTCTGGTCTCCCAAATCATTGTAAACAGACATAACAACGTTCTAAGATCGGCTCTCTGGCTGCAGACAGCTCGTTGGAGCTGTTTGGTAAATCAAAAGAAAGGAAGAGGGGAAAAGCCAATCTATCACTTTATTTATATTATCTGTCTTTGGTGACTGATTTATCATTTAAGTGCTTTGAGAAGAGAGTCCAGAAAGCGTTGTCCAATTAGTGCTGCCCTCTTAAACCGTGTCCTATAAATATTCGTAATTATCAGAATTGCAAAACAATCTTCATCAGTGCTCCGTATTCAGGGGAACAACTGATTTTCTGGGTTTGCCTAGAAAAGTTTATATTTATCCAAATTAGGCAGAGAACAGAAAGCAAACAAGAGGCTGTTGCTTTATTTGAGAATGAAACCAGTCGCAGAGAAAGAGCAGCCAGGAATATGGGGATAAAAATAACACATTTAACTGTTTATTTCTTTATTCTTGCAGATTTCTGCTTTGACTTTAATTAAGCTAGCCCTGGGCTAGTGGGCATGGAAGGGTTTTTTTCTTTTTTTTATTCCTCTTTTATTTTTTTAATTCCTCATTAGGCTGTTTTCTCCTTGGCTCTCATGGCTTTAATGACTAGTCCCATTAAATAGGTCAATGGGCTGCTTTTATTTCAAGTTTTATATAGGCTCATATCCCACTGAATCTTAAACACTGAACACCCAAAGCCTTTCTAGGCATTTTTCTACATTCCTGCAGATAAAGATGCGTTACTTTCTCTTTTCCCTTCTCTCCACAGCAGCTGACCTTTCACTGGGAGAAAGCTCTGGGAGGTTGGCATCAGTCTGGGCCAGCCATGTGCTAAAATACCTCCCAGGTAAGTGTTTGGCTGAGTTTTGCAGTCTGTGGGCAGCAAAAAAGGAAGGAAGAGGAATAAGGGCAGCCTGCCTGCCCTTCCAGCACCTTCCCTCTCTGGCTGGGTAGTGACCTTGGCAGCACCAGGGCATGATGGACAACAAAATTCTTATGGTTTGAGCAGGAGAAAAAAACCCAACAAACTTGTGAATTAATTAGTTTTATTTATGCAATAATGTTTTTTTTATGTGACATTTGCTTGATGTCACCTTAGAACAAAACTTTATGCTCCAGCATTGTCTGTGAGATGCTCCCACTGCCATTCCTGCGTTTCCTATAGGATTCTGTAACCCTACAGCACAAATTATTGTTATAGGTGTTTTGGAAACAGTCCTTCTTCTAGGTGTTGGAGCTGCTCTTCTGGCCAGCAATCCCTTCTCCTGAGACATGAGTTGGGTGCCATGGATTTCTCTGCAGCAGAGCAGGGACTCTCTACTTGTGAATGTTTCACACCAAGAGAGAACCAGCACTATTGACTTCTCTAAATGCTTCCACCCCACCTGAGCTGCTGCACTGGAACAACATTAGTCCACCAAATGTCTTATACTGGGAATTACAACTCTTCATCTTCTCCCAATGCTTTATCAGCTCCTTGAAATGAATTTTTTTTGGGTGCAGTCTTTTAGCAAAGTAACCTGTTCTAGCACCAAACTGGCTGCACAAAATACTCAGTGTCACTAGTGGGGCAGGGAAAAATTTGGCAGAAAATCTGTGGGGATTTCATTGAAACACAGCACTGGGGCAGCAGATTAGGTGAATGTGTAGAATTTGAAGATGCAGTTTCAGATACACCTTCAGATACAATTTAAACTGTTATTTTAAGTGCAAGCTAAAAATAATTTGAGTCTCAGCTCATACCTCCTAAGAATATACTTGTGAATCCCAGTCTAGAGGCGTCTGTTTGTCTCTGCTGTTCCTGAAAGGAGCCTGTGGACACTTTCCTCCCCAGTCTGGAGACTTTCCTCCCCAGTCCAGTGCCCCAAGCAAGAGGAGATGGATCTTATCATCCCACTGCAATTTGTAGAGTAATTAGGACCTTGACTGTGACAACCTTTAGCCTGTCAGCACTCGTGGTTTAGCTCATAGTTAAGATGACAGTGGAAACTCTATTGCAGCTCTTCTAAATACACCCATATTTTAACTAGATGAGGTGATATGTGGGTTTGCAGTGATTTGTTTAGATGTACAGGGTAGTGTCAAAGGACTCTCTAAACTGGGACTGAATCCATTTGATTGTCTGGAAGGTGATTTTGATTGCCTTTTCCTCCTTTAGAGCTGAATGGTGGCGAGCCCAGCTTGTCTGCGGTGGGAAAGCAGGGAATCCCTGACCAAAGAGCGGGGTGTGGTGAGTACAAACCCCTCACGTGCTCCATTCCACTTCGAAAGATGCCTTTTATTCAGGTTAAACAGATTAGGCAGGTATGGCTAATCAAGCAGTTTGCCCACTGAACAATCTTTACTGCTCCAACAGACTGACCTCAAACCACGCTGAGACTGAGCAGCTGAAATTTAAATTTCTTTTTAGATACCTAGTTATTTGGGGGTTTTTTGCATCCTGTATATGTTTCAGCACACTGTTAAGGAGTTGTCATTATCCTAATTATAATTAAGTCACTTGAAATAAATTCAGAGATAGTAAACAGTGTAAAAATATCTAAATAGGGGAGCTGGTTCATTGATTTTATGGCTAAATTATCACCTTGTGTATAAATGATTCTGAGATGCTACAACTGACAAACAATACCTTTAATTCAGCAGTCAAAATGATGCTATTAATGTGGAAAGCTGATGAAAAAGAAATCCTAACTCTGTTTCTAAGCAGAGTGACAGGTATCACTGCCCCATGTCAGCCAACCTGAAGTCAGATTGAACTTCTGGCACATAAATCAGTGATATAGATGAGGAATTTTCTCCTTGTTGGGAAAAGCTCATTTGCTTCTCTGGAGCAGGGATTTTTCTATCCAAATCAGAGTGTTCAAAGTATCAGCACCAGAGAGGCAATTAATGGGATTTCCAAGAGTGTCTGGGCCCTGGATGCCAGTCGAGTTTCTAGGTGATTTTTAAATGATGTCTAGAACCCATCTGCATCCTTTGGCACTCAGATCCCTTCAAACTGTCAGCTTTAGATGCCTGCCTTGATTCCTGATGGATCTGGTCTGCAGCAAAACTAATTGTGACTGACAGCACAAAAAGACAGGTGCAAAAACTGAAGCCCAGGTCTAAAGCCTTGGTCTCGTGGAGCTGATGGACATTTAGTGTATTTTTTACATTTTGCTTTCACTGGTTCCTTAATTAAATAAAAAATATTTTAGATAGAGCAGCAGAAATCAACTTCTTTGACTGATATGAATCCTGTTTACTCTCCAACTCTGAACTCAGCAGGTTAAGTAATTGGGAGACAGAAAAGTTCCTATATTTCTATTTCCAGCTGGTGGTACACAAAAGGCAGGAAGTTATCTCATTAATGGGGCACCAGCTTTATGCAAATTATAGTAACAAAAAGGCTTCCCTTCATACTTTTCATAAATTACCTAATAAAGTAGGAATAAATGGCCATATTCAAGAGCCTTTGTTGTATTTTTAGCACAAGACTCTTTCTGTTACTGCAAATATGACTAAATGTGCCTTGTTCAAAAGGGGTGTTTATGAAATAAGGCCACTCAAAAGCTTTTATTCCTTAACAGCCTTCAGTTACTTTTATGGCACAAAATTAACATAATTAGTCACAGAGAATAGATGACATAAGCAGCGTGCCATGCACAAAAGGGGAAACCAGTATCTAAGGAAGGTATTTTGAGAGATCAAAAATTTTCAAAGTGCTCAATACTAGAAGGTCCTTTTTATTTGTGCACAGCCTTAAGATACTTCCCTACTCCGTGAAATTCCCATAATGAGATGCAGCAGACAGATGACATTAGCGATGAGCCATTAGAAAGAGGTCAGTTTTCTCTGAAAGATAGTCACTGTTCCTGCTCGTCATTAATTTGCAGCTTCAAAGAAGCGAGCATATGATAGTCTGGCATGTTAAGCAAGTTGCAGTTATCTTTAAATAACCATTTTTTTCCAGTTATTAGAAGCCTAAAGTTTTTAAACTTCTGACTGAAAGCGAAATTAAAGCACGCAGCAGTGGAAAAAGGCTACGGAGAGATTAGAAAAAGGAAATCAAATGTGTTTTATAAATGAAGTTAGCTTTTCCCCAGGGAAAGGCTGCCTTAACTTTTAGCTCAAGAATTTGGGGTTGCATGTAGACCTCAGAGACTTGATTGCTTCTTGGGAGAAGAGGGAAAACTCACTATTTTTAGCTGTTATCTTGTTGCTGGATGAACATGCCCATGATCCGAAGGGCAGAAATGCACAACTACATAAATAAAATTTGCAGCCCAGAAGCAAAGATATCCAGGGCTCTGGAACAAGGTGGGAGAAGGAAAATGGATCTGCTGTGCTTGTGTCTTGGTGGGAATTTTGGTTACATCTCTGTTTGGGCAGTGAAATATGTTTGGATATTACAAAAAGGGACTTGGATCATGTCTTTTCCATAAATGAGTGGGGAGCAAGCAGGAGTGTGGTGCAGCAGGCAGGAGACAACTCCAATGCAGCACTGAGATCTTGGTGTCAAAGGACTTGTCACATCTCCAAATCATGTCACATGTCCAAGCTGGTGCTATCAAAGGCTGTTGTTTGATAATAAATATCCTTTCATTTCTGGTCTTAACTTCAGGCTTAATGCAGAAGCTCTAAAGCCTCAGAAAGATCCTGGTTTAAGCAATCCTGTCTTATTACTCAAGCCAAGACTTAATCCTAAAGCCAAGACTTGCTGCCTGGGTGATGCAGAACAGGAGAGCATTGCTGAGGGATTTACACTCAGTCAGGGTCAGCAGAGTCAACACAGCTTTGAGGAAATCATGAAGTATTAATCTATCCTATCAATATTACCATTAATTAGAGTTTTGTTTTTTCCTTTTGGTTTATGCATCAGCATGGTCCCCTAAGTCAACCAAATGTCCTGGTTTCCCTGGTTTCTCTCTGTCACCCTTATGCAGAGAGAGATCCCAGCTCCTGCTCACACCACTCATGCCAACTTCCCAGGTCATGCTTGGCCAGAGAATCCCAGAATGGTTTGGGTTGGAGGTGACCTTAAAGCTCACCTCATTCTCCCCCCTGCCATGGGCAGGAACACCTTCTACTATCCCAGGTTGCTCCAAGCCCCATCCAACGTGGCCTTGGACGCTTCCAGGGATGGAGCATCCACAACTTTTCTGGGCAACACTTGCTCATGCCCTGCACTGTTGGCACCATCCCTGGAACAGTTTTGACTGGGAACAAGATTCCTCCCCCAGCATGGACCCCACGCTGCTCTCTGGGAGGTCAGGCAGCCCTGGAGGTTAATCCTTGCCTTGAGAACCAGGCACCAGTCCCTGCCTCGCTTCATTATAAATTCATTGAATGCAACCCTGGATTCACCCGTGGCCAGACACTCTTTAGGAGAGTCTCCCTTTTCCGGGCCATGGCAGGGGAGGCCAAACTTTGTAGGTGTCTAGCAGAGATATCACTTTTAAACATCTGAAGTAGGATGGGATGAAGCTGAGCATGAGTTCCTGTGGAAAATCAGATAACTGAACAAGTCTGGGGGCTATCATTAATCTGGGTGTTTTAATTTGGACTGGACTTTCCCTCTGGGCTGTGATTTACTTGGGATGAAAGAGGGTTCACTGGGAGAGGAGAAGTGCAGGATGTTTTACAGCCTGGCTCAGGGCTGCACTGCCTTGGCACTCATTTAGAACTACCATTAATGGATCATTTTTTCAGCTCTTTGGATCTGGTTATGGATGCATCACAACTGGTTGCACAGCAAGCACATCCAAATCTTGGATTCAGAATCAGATCCAGGTGTACATTCCCCCAGAGCCTCGGAATGCCCCAATTTCATGTCCCAGCCTGCTTTACCAGGAGCACTTTCAGTGCTCCTCCACTAGTTTAAAGAGTTCTACCTGGTTTAAACTGTTCTTCCAGGAAAAAATTCCTCACAGAAAGGGCTGTCAAGCACTGGAAGGAGTTTCCCAGGGAGGTTTGGAGTTCCCATCCCTGGAGGTGTCCAAGGAGTGACTGGACATGGCACTCAGTGCTCTGGGCTGGAGGATAAGGTAGGGCTCGGGCACAGGGTGGACTCCACGGACTGGGAGGGCTTTTCCAACCTGCATGACTCCGTGATTCCACCTGTACACAGTCAGCCCTGCTTCAAAAATGACTTATTTACTGATTGAATTTTTATCAACATGGAGCTGCCAATATTTTTAAGAAGAGAACCCTCCAGTTGCAAGGGGAAATCCAGCCAGCTGAAAATTCAGGAAGTAACTTGTAAAACAGACGCACAAAGTCAAGTTGATAAAATAAGTAGAAAGTTAAAAACCAAGTGACCCTTTTCCCTCTTTCTCCTATAGAAAACAACCTTCATTTAGGGCAATGCTCTCCCTTACTTTTTAAGAAACCTTCTTGAGTTTGTTTTGCTGCACTTTTTAAACAGTTTTTCAGGTGTGGAGCAATATTTGTGAACTGTTCTTCTGTGGCCTGTGAGGGAAAATAATCCATTAATTAGATAAAGAGCAAGGGGAGGCTGGACAGATAATGCAACAATAATTCCAGCCCCTGGCCCCTGGTTTACAGTGACACACAGCCTTGAATTTTGAAGTGCAGGAAGTCTTCTCTCCTTTCTTGGGACAACAAGCAGACTGTTATTCAAAGCTTATTATGCCAAGGCCAAAAAATCTGGTTTTGTGGCTTGGGAGAAGAATATTAGCATTTCACAGGTGAACTGAGCAGCACTGAAAGCTGATGGAATGCCACTGTGATTCTGCCAAAATAGGTATAAACAAGTAATAAACATCAGTGTGAGCTGCAGACCTCTTCCAATAAATGATACATGGTGAAAAGATGGGGTAAAGAAACAGTTTGGTGAAAATTGGGAGGGGAAGGAAAAGAATTTTGCAGGATTTGAAATGAGAATTTAATGTCTTTTAAGTCCTTATCATTATATTGAGCCTATTTTTTCAAGGAAATTGTGTTGCTTGTGATACACTTATAAAATTATTTCTCTTCCTTACTTATATTAAATTCAACTTTTTCCACTTTCCAATTTTTTATATAAATCTTAAATAAAGTAATATATCACTAAATGTCCCAAAATGAATGTTCTCATGGAATAGGGACTTCCATTATTCTAATATTATTCTAACTAGACATAGGAGAGACACACAGATGGCTTTAAAAGAAATGTTAGAATTGGTAGTGAAGCTTTGATTCCAATATCAAAGTGCAGGAGAACTGAAATGAAAAAGATAACATAAAAGAAAACAGGCAAAAAAAAAAAAAAAAAAAAAAAAAAAAAAAAAAAAAAAAAAAAAAAAAAAAAAAAAAGTCTTGTTTTCCTTCATTGAAAGTTAGAAAATATCCACAGACACTTCTTATTTTGTCTGAAAAATTTAATACAAACCAAATCCCAGCATGGTACTGATGAAGACTTTAGGCTGGTCCTTGACATTAGGCAGGACAGGATTTGTGAAAATGCTCTGTTCACCTACTAATACTGCCATTTACATCAGCAGGAGTAAATGTAATCAATACTGAGTGTCTTTCAAAGACTTTCCCCTAAAATGACAGAAAGGTGCCACTTCAGAATGTTATGTTTGAGTCTGATGACACAGGGAGACCTGAGAGCCCCTTCCAGGGCCTCGAGGGACTCCAGGAGAGCTGGAGAGGGACTTGGGACAAGGGATGGAGGGACAGGACACAGGGAATGGCTTCTGACTGAAAGAAAGTAGGGTTAGGTGAGATATTAGGAAGAAATTCTTTTCTGTGAGGGTGGGGAGGCCCTGGCACAGGTTGCCCAGAGAAGCTGTGGCTGCCCCTGGATCCCTGGAAGTGTCCAAGGTCAGGTTGGACGGGGCTTGGAGCAACCTGGGCTAGTGGAAGATGTCCCATTGCAGGCGGTCTTAAGGATCTTAGATAATCTTTAGATCTTTTAGATGATCTTTAAGGTCCCTTCCAGCTCAAACCATCATAGGATTCTATGAAATGTTACCAGGACCAGAAAGATGTGGTGATATTGGGTATTTTTAATTGCTCAGACTATAAGTTTTTTTGATTTTTGTCATTTTCAGGACCCGTGTCTGCCATTATCAATCGTTTCTATCAATACCATGCTACCAAATTTTGGAAGATGCAGACAAACCGGTTGTACTGCAGAAAAAACCTGAAGGCTACAAGGTATTTCCTGAGATTCCTGTGGTAGAAGGAAACCAATGGTAAGGAAAGAAATAAAAGGAGATTCTGGCAATGTCTACATGCCACATTCCAGAATGGATTATATCTGCTTAAACTAATAAGAATCTATAGAACAGAAAGAATAATGAATTGGATGTTCTTGTTAAGGTCTAGTTCAGTTTAATTAAAACACCAGCTCTAAAGCAATATATATGTGTATTTGTGCACACAGAGCCTGGTTTATGTATCCCACAAACCAATATATAATGCACAGACACCCTTGCTCATTATACCTAAACTTTTTTCTTTAAATACACAGCTTTATACATTATTTTAAACACATTTTTATCACATGTTAATAATATTCATGCTGGTGCTTTGAAAAATCTGCGAGATGTGGTTAATGAAGAGAAACTGCAGCATAAATTGCATGTAAAATATGCAATCCACAACAACATATTTTTTTTTTTCTCAAGCTTCAGGTTCTTTTTACATTAAACATATTTTAGCTTGTTTAAATTTATTCCCTATTGTTTATAAAGAGCATCATCAGCCACCACTGCTTGAAACAACTACAAGTAGTAAACCAGGCAATCTTCTTACTTTAATAAGATTCTTGGGTTAAAAATAGATTTTAAGTCTATCTCACATTAAAGGATGTAAATCCTAATGAAACTGCACAAAATGTTTCTCATTTCCAAGGTGGGTCTTTTTCTGTACAGGCAAACGTTTCTTTTTATTTTTTTTTTTAATTTTTTATTTCCACCAAAGAAAATAATCAGAATTTGCTGTTGGTTGTGGCTGTTTACTTTTTTTATTCCCACTGTCACTGGACAGTCAATTGGGCATTGGCACATGATTTACTAAATAAGCCTTACGTGAAGGTCCAGTTCAGGTATCTCCACTAGCACTGTTTTTTATTTTATTTTATAATTTTTTAAAAAATTATTTATTTTAATTTTAAATTAAATTAAATGTTTAAATTTAATTTTTATTATTATTTATTTTTTTTAGTAACACATCCATGAGGTTTTTCACAATATCTCATCCAACTGCCCTTTGCTGCAATTTCAATGGACTCCTGTTTTTTCCTGCCCAGAATTGTCAAGGATAAGAATTTCCCTCCCTTTTTTTCATATCAGCCATATTTTTATGTGCAGTTTTCCCCCAGCCTCTTCTTTTATGGAGTAAACAATCCTAATTCCTTACATTTATTTTTTCCCTAGAAATTCTGTTTTCCTACATGCTTATCTTTCTCACTCTTTTAGTTTCTCTCCAACTTGTCCACATCTTTCTTGTCCTGAGTATTTAATGACTGTGTCTGGAACTACAGCCGGGCCAAGTATTATCAAGGCCAAAAATCCAGCAGGTTATTCCACATTATATCTATTTGTATCCATATGCAGGACCCTGAGCTGTTATGCAGCTTTTTTCTACAGTCTGATAACATTTTACATTCTGAACTGTCACAAAGAACTTCTGTCTCAGCAGAACATCCCCCTTCCAGAGCCTAAAGGGGCTCCAGGAGAGCTGGAGAGGGATTTGGGACAAGGGATGTAGGGACAGGACACAGGGAATGGCTTCCCACTGCCAGAGGGCAGGGACAGATGGGAGATTGGAAAGGAATTCCTGGCTGGGAGGGTGGGAAGGGACTAGGATGGATTTCCCAGAGAAGCTGTGGCTGCTCCTGGATCCCTGGAAGTGTCCAAGGCCAGGTTGGACGGGGCTTGGAGCAAGATGCCCCTGTTGATTGTAGGAGGGTTGGACTGGAAGACCTTTAAGGTCCCTTCCAACCCACACCATTCTGTGACTCTGTGGAATTCCACTCTGCCTGGAGCTGGGTGCACGTGCCGAGGAGTTTTAAATTTCCGTTTCTGCTTTTGGTGTCCAGAAAAGTATTCAATCCTCCTCATGCAGCAGAGATGAGTTAGTACTCAGTAATCAATCCAGGCTTTTACAGCTTAAAAGATTAGCCCACCACAAGGAATTGTTTTGCTTTATTATTGCAGTTATTATTAACAAAATTGCTGGCAATCCCAAGACTGTAATTTATGTCAGAATCCTATTGTGGTAAAACCTATAAAAACACACATGAAGACAGCGACCCTGTTTCAAATAATCTGGTGAAAAACTAGACAGAATATTGAACATGACAAGGAATGAGTGGTGACTTACATTTGTAGATCATCCAGTCAATCATATTATATCCATATGATATATCATATCATATATCAAGCCTTATAGGCAGCTTAGCAGGTCTCAGTTATTTTAAAATATGTGTCAATAAATGAATACACGTTCATCTGTGAAACCATTAATCAGAAAGCTGATTCCTTACTGCCCCCACAGAAGCCAGAGACGTGGAAAAATGGGGGAAGAAGGCCTTGGACCACAGGTGACATAAATCTGGATGAGGGGAGGAGTGGCAGGGAGGGGATGGATGTCACCTGAGGGGTGGTATCGCTGGAGAAGCACCGGATAATACAGAGGGAGAGGTGGAATGTTGTGAAGGTAAATCTGGGAAAAGGATTGATGGGATTAGGAGGGAAGGGGTGGCACCACGCAGGGTTTATGCAGGTCCCACAGAAAAGGAGAAAGATGCAATCTCATGGATGGTGATTTTACTGAAATGTTCATTGTGTTCGCTTGGAGGCCTGAAAGTTTAGGTTGGTAGAGGTAGAGAAACACTTCTATTTGTTTGGTTTTGTTTTATTTTTGTTTGGGTTTTTTTTGTGTTGTTGTTGTTTTTTTTTTAATTGAAGGGTCATGCTTTCAATTCTGAAACTGATCATTTTGTTTCCATATCTCAATTAACATAAGCTGTTGATTTTATAAATTCATATCAAATTTACGTATCACCCAAACACCTCAGAGCTGGAGAAAGAGCAGATGCCCAGTGAATGATTTTAGAGATAAGTTGGAGCACATTTGCAAATATTTGTGAAATCTTACTCTGTTTTTGCATTGCTTCTTCCAGGAATTCCCTGTTTGGACTGTGTCTGCTTTCCCTCTCAGGTGTGAACATCATTGTATTAGAGCTACTCAGAGGAGCAACAAGCTGCACCATGTGACTTAGCCACAGATTTTTTGGTTCTGCAGGTAAATCTCTCGCATTTTATATTTCACTTTGTCATTTATTTACTTTATTTTAAATTTCTTGGGACATCCCTGAAGCTTGTAGCAAGTTATAGAATGTATAGATATTGGTAACAATGGCTAGAAAAGATAAAGGCAACATATATACGGTATTGTCAGCTTTTGTAAAGGTCTTTAGTAGGAGAGGTACAAGCTGTATTTTTATTTGGGGCATGGTTTGTAATAAACAGACTATAAAGTAAATTTGAATTTGGATTAGGAAGAATATTGACGCTAGAAATAGGTTTGGCCAACCTTAGTTTCGAGGAAATTAGTGAAATAAATTTTCACTTTACAAATTCATGAGAATTAGAATGATTTGAGTGGGAAGGGACCTTAAAGCTCATCCTGTTCCACCCCCTGCCATGGGCAGGGACACCTTCCACCAGCCCAGGTTGCTCAGGGCTCCATCCAACCTGTTCCTGAACACTTCCAGGGATCCAGGGTCAGCCACAGCTTCTCTGTCCAACCTATGCCAGGGCCTGTCCACCCTCACAGTTGAGATTTTCTTCCTAATATCTGATCTAAATCTCCTCTCCTTCAATTTGAAGCCATTCCCTGTGTCCTATCACTGCAGGCTCTTGTAAATTGTCTCTCTCCATCCTTCTTTCATGCTCCCTCCAGGCATTGGAAGGCCACAATAAGTTCACCCCAAATTCTTCTCTTCTCCAGGCTGAGCAATCCCAATTCTCTCAGCTTTTCCTCCCAGCAGAGCTGCTCCATCCCTCTGATCATCTTAGTGGGATCCTCTGGACTCTCTCCAGCAGCTCCCTGTCCTGTGCTGGGGTCCCCAGAGCTGGATTACTGTCCAGCTCCATGTCCAGCAAGGCAATTTGCTGCCCTCCAGCTGATTTTAAGGTTGCAGTCACACCTTAGGCCCTCCACCTCACACAGCAGGCTGATATTTAAGCTGCTTTGGATCTTTTTCCTGTTTTTTGAGTTACATGATAACACCTTCAGCTTCCAAATTATCGCTGTGTGAAGGAAAGAAAAAAAAGTCTGGCTTTTTTTCTTGTAAATTAAAAGAAGGCAATGAGTGCTTGAAAGCCACATTTAGAGGTTACAAATAGATGTAAAAACTGTCCAAAGTGTCCCAACTTTGAGCTTGAGTAAATATACCTTCAGTAAAATACCTGCCCAGTTGTGAGCACGTTTAATGGGCTTCCCACTGATTATCTTCTCAACTCAGAGAAGCTGAGAAGCCTGTAGCTCCCATGCCACGACATCAATCAGAGCCCAAACAGGGCAGAACACCATGATTTCCCCACTCATGGTGGAGTTTGGTTCTCCAGCAGAAAACAAAGGGATTGAAAGAAGAATCCTATTAATTCCGGCTGCTCTAATGCGAAACCGGATTTCATTTTTAGACTTCTATTTTCTACTGTAATTATATAAATCTGAACATACTTTGGAGATTATGAAATAAGAGCCAGAGAAGCCAGTTATTTTTCATCATTTATTTTTAAAGCAAATTTATCTTTGAATTGTCATCAGTTAAAATTCCTGAGCAGCAGACCACAAATGAGTACAATATGAACACGATTTTCCATGCCAGCCCAATTCCAGTGAAAGATTTAAAGTTTTTTTTTTTGGGGGGGAGGGGAGGTGTTTCCTTTGAACACTTTGAGTGAACACAAAGTGTGACCAGTTCCACCTTAGTAGGCCATAGGTCATTCTCCAAGTTTACAGTGTGTGTGTGTGTGTACACGTGTATAAGTAAACACAAATAATACTCAGCTAAGCCATGTACTGGCAACATAAACTCATTAAATCTTCAATTTAATGGATTCTGAAACCCTGAAGTACTCTGAAAAAGGGAACAG